AGCGAAGAGACGAGGCCAGGAGCTATGAATCGACCCCTGCAACCACAACTAGGTGACTACACACACAGTGTCCGTGGTTCAAACCCCGGCCGAGTAGAAACACTGGGCATGGAAATACGTCACTGCCTCTCTTGGGTTATCCCAGATAATTATCACAGGTGACCAGGCAACCACGAACAAGTGAATTTTAAGCAATTAAACTGCGGCTAGAAGGGGATCCAACCCGTATTATTTTAGCCCGTCCCATGGGAAACAAGTCAACCATCACATTAACCACTGGGCCATCAATCCAAAGACTGATAGCCGCAGTTTGTTAATATGTTCTTGTGTGTGATAATTTGTGTATTTATGTTTATCTGTACCTAAATAAACTTATACCTGCTGTTGCTATTCACCTAGCAGTAAGTAGGTACCTGGGTGTTAGTCGACTGGTGTGGATAGCATCTTGGGGGGGGGGGGGCAAGATTGAAGGACCATAATGGAATAAGACAGTCAGTGCTCGATTACGCGCTGACTTTGCTGGGTTATATTGGGTAGTAGTGGTGGACCTATATTTTTGGGGCCCTGAAGCTCGAACCGTTACGGGGGGCCCCTTCGCAACCCCTTCTCATAGACTCAAAATTTTATGGCAATATGAGCTAAAATCGCTTCTGGGGCCCCTCCAGGAACAGGGGCCCTGAAGGTTAAGCTTCATTAGTTTCACAGGAGATCTGCCCCTGGGGTGGCTAACCTCCAGGTGAGAAATGCGAACAGATCTTAACTTTAGCGGCCAGATCTTTTATCATCATATTAATGGTTTACAAAATCGGCAAGATGAAGACAGGTGTAGCACTTGGGTATACTTATTTTGTAAACTTATTATCAAAGGTGACGGACTGAAAACACCATTCTAGGCTGAGGGACTGATTACCTCAAATTCCATCTTTGTGTCTTCCTCAGTTCTCTTTTTCTCTGCATTGGACTGATGAAGGCACTGGTTGGCGAAAAGTTTTCCCAAGTGCTGAACACGTGTTTTATTTACCAGCTTGTTATATTCAACTGCACAAGCGGTTTTTTTTCAGATTACTCCTATTAAAGGAACTAATTTACTAGACACCCCCGCCCCCCCCTAAGTGACAACAATATTAAAACATTAAATGGTATAAAATACCGACAGTTGTTAGGTAAGACACATAGGTAAGACTGATTACATCGTCTTCAAGTATCTTCTGCTTCTATCAACTTTTCTGTACTTGACTGAAGAAGCCTACTGTGTAGGCGAAACGTTTCATAATAAAGATACCTAACTGTTGCATATGTGTCTTACCTAACAACAATATTAAAACACTTTTATTGAGACGATAAAGCTCTCACTGGAGCGAAAAGTTCTTTCAAAGACTGTCTACCACACCTGTCAGTTTCTATTCCTGTCGACACTAAAGCTGTGTAATATCCCGACCTCCAACATTCATACATGTGCAGAGTATCGAAACAAATACATAAACGGGAAGTGAGAAACTTGCCCGAGCCAGCCTCTGTATCATTAGCGTCACATACAGACGTTCCATCTTTCATAACCTTAACATACCCGCCCTAGCCTGTGGCATTAGTGTCACCTACAGACGTAATTAGCGCGCGCACACACACACACACACACACACACACACACACACACTCAAGCCAGCATCTGGCATTAGTATCACAGTCATCCAATCTTACATAAACTCTACACAAAGTCCAGATATTAATTACGCCTCGCTTATCAACGAACTTGGATACGCTCCTCTGACAAAATTCAGAGGACCCAGCTGATAATACTTAGGACCTGACGCGCCCTAGCGGCACATCTCAACCTCAATACATCTCTCACATCCTTGGGAATGTGCACACCTCACACACTTGTACACTAGGAGATGTAGAACATGATCATACAGAAAGTATATAAAAAGACATGTGCAACGTATAGGGAATTATTATACTGTTAATAGTATATACAACTATCATATGTGATATGCAGCAGCCCGGCCCTGGGTCAGGTTTATGGGGGGGGGGCTATCGTGGTATTTATGGTATGGGAACGTATCACACTGATGGGATAGGGAAACCTTTGTTTTTCTTAGGAGACATTTCGCTCACTAAGTCAGATGTGGTGAAGGCAGGTGTACACCTGTGACAGTTTCTCTAGCCTAACACTTTCTGCCTGGCAGCAAGATTATGTTCAACCAGACTGCTTCTGTTGGTAGCCCTCTGAACCACAACATGATAACCTGTATCATTATCTAAAGGTATATAACCGACATGTTGATGAATAAGACACCTGTGCAACACCTGGGTATCTACCGAAACGTTTCGCCCAACAGTAGACCTCATGAATGTAATACAGAGGCAGGAGGATTGAGTCTCTTATACTGGAGTCAGTGCAATATAATGCCGAACAAGCCACATGGAATGGAAATCTTTAGCTCTAGATCTTTCGCACTTTCTCGCGTCGCCAGGAGCTATGCAATGTTGCAAGACAGCAACAAATAGGAAGGGAAATTCTCAGAGGCAAAAGTCAGAAGGTACCAGTGGCAGCCCATATGATGGGCTGCCACTGGTATCTTCTGACTTGTGCAATTTAATTTAGCTTAATCCAACTAAATATATTTTATACAAGTTTATAATAATTTAATAATAAACAAACAATGCAATATATTTTGTTCGCTAGATTCAGAATGATTTTTTGCGAAATTATTGCATACACAAATTTTCACTTGCTTTATTCGGCAAGAATAGCAAGGCTATTTAAGCCAAAAGAGCAAGTTTTACTTATTCGGCACGATATATATAGCAAATAAGAGTGAGGGGGAGAGAGAGAGGGGGAGAGAGAATCAGAGAGAGAGCAGACAGCTTTAAATAATTCCTGAAGGTTAGCACACATCACTTCTCGATCAGCAGTCACCTAGCGTATATTCTTTGCATACAGAGTAGGAGCGTGCACCCTGGGGGGTGCATATCAGAAAGATAAAAGGTACGAGTACATATACATATTATATTTATTATGGAACATCATAGTGCTGTGAATAACTCCTCACTGGTAGCAGGCAACCCACATGTAGACAAAGACAAGGAAAACAGTTGATCTCTATATTTCGATCTTTGAGATCCTCGTCAGCAAGTAGAAAGAATGAGGAAAATGCTTATTTATATTGATGGCAGTGGCTAGGGGAAGAAGAGGTGGACGTCAGTCTAAGATGTTGATGTGGCGAGCAAAGACTGAGGATACCACATCTTGTTGAGGGGATAAGAGACGTGTGGTTGGTGCCTTCCCGATAAAATCGGGAACTAGTACGTACGTCTTTAAACTCGGTAGTTAAATTGGAGTCTTCCTTTTGAAAATACTGAGGTTGGGCGAGTACAAATAGGAAGCTCGCCAGACAGGCGTTCTTCCTATTTGTATTAACGGTCGTTAGAAAATTAACAATCGTTAGAAAAAGTCTGAGGGTAACACATTGCTTGCATACAGACTGGCAGCTGGTAAAAACCTGGAATGTGTTACTATGTCTAATTAAGTATTTGGTGTTTTCTCATGTGTATGAATTTAATCACAACGGGCAGGATTAACGAGGCACAGAATTCTTACACCGAGAACAAATAGACAGGACCAATAGCGCCACAGCTGAATATTCCAACGTAGCTCCATCAGACCCCATGTGGTAACACTACCATCAACCAGCAAGAAGGCAGGCAGCCTTGAAGATGACAGCGCTACTCCGTCTGCTGGCTCTAGTGACACCAATGCTCCCTTGCCAACTTCTGGCAGCCTCTGTACTTGAACAAATGCCACGCTAAACGCTGGCAGAAGGGATTTATCTGCTAGAACAAGACAAAAGCGTTAAAGGTCGCCGTCAACATTTTCCCTAGACAATCACAACAACGAACTCTCCAGTTACACAATCATAAGAAGAAGCTGCAGCCGCTGCCGCCACCCCCTAATCAGGGTCAGCATTTGAAATTGCAAAGTTATCAACACCATGACAGTACTCCAGCTACCATCGACGTATGAGCTGCTGTTAATTATAAACATCTACGGAGGAAATTTCAAGAGCTTATTCCCGTTTAGGGCATGAAAATCTCTGTAGACTTTCTCCCACTTATATGTCCGGGTCCTGTCTCAACCCAGTAGGTAGTGATCTACCATAGACACTTAGATATGTATTTTCATCTGAACCCAAGGCTGCCTTTATAATGCCGAGCATATCAAGAGAATGCGGCCAAAAATGACAGAATGATAATCCTTTAGGACATTATACTGGTAAGAAAATCTAAGCCTCAGGAAAGCCCCAGAGCAGAAATGAGGTTTAGCGATATTTCGCCTGAAGGCCACATCCAGTAATGGCTGGATCGACACTTGATGGATGGTCATGTTTATTAGTTGTGGTGATATTGTGAATCACTGCTTTTTTTTTTTACTGCAATCAGAGGCACTTCCAAACAACAGTGTCGACTGAAATCTGGCTCTGTAATGACCATTTGTGCAATGGCTCAAATCAGCACGTGTTTCTCCGAGTCCCTGTGAACCAAACACCTGCAAACGAACATGGAAAGAAAACTTGCACGAAGAAGAGCAGGTTCCAAAACTTGGTCTCTGGTCGAGGATCGGCAGAAGTGTTCACCCGATCATACAATATCATCAATTAGGAAAAAGTTTTGTCTGCTGGGTCAGTCCCATCTCAGCACCTGCACGCCAGCAGTGAAGGGACTCGCTGCTCTACTACTCACACTAAATATATGATGAATTCAAAATTAACAGTTTTCAAGATACTCTGAAAGAGGTATTAAGCGAATCGGATAATAAAAACTCATGGCAGGTGACACATCCTTGACAAATCATTTTCCTTTCATGTGACTTGTTATGCCTATATGGATAATTCAGTGGCAAGATGGGTGAAAGATCGAACTTTCACCGGCTAATCTTTAAATAATCACTCTGATTACCTACTGTCAGCTTCCACAAGTCAAGAGAAAGAAGAGTTACTCACCCAACTCGGCGTAGCACAGGGCGCCCACCATGGAGAGCACACCCGACACCGCCCACACCAGCAGAGCCGCGCCCACGCTGCCGCTGTACTCTAGCACCCCTTTAGGGGAGACGAAGATGCCAGAGCCGATGATGATGCCCACAATGATACCCACGCCGTCCATCATCCCTAGCTCCTTCTTCAGCTTGAAGCCAGAGTCTGAAGAATCATCTGCTTCCGTACCCGACTCAGAGATGTTCTTGGCGCTGACGGCCGCCAGGGGCAGTATCTCCGCCGGCGAGGCACCGCTAACATCCTTCAGAGTCGCCATTCTTATTTCTACGTTCCTGCCTTGTTTCACACAGAATGGGTGGGGGTAGGAAGGATGGCAGTCTTATCTTTTACACAAAATCGGGGAAACTCTCGGGTACTTGCACTAAACTTTTTTTTTGGTCATATATTTTTGTCTTCACCCGCAACTAGTTATCAAGAGGAGTGTAAGAATCAAATTTATCGCTGGTTAATTCAAGGTGATATACAACAGTAACACAATCCTCCTTAATGGCAATTCAATGACAAGTTGCCAAAAATTCAGAAATAATTTTCAGAATGCACCGGTGGATAGAGCTCACACCGGAATTTCATGTTCGTCACTAACTTTCGTTCATTTCCCGACATAAGCTGGCAAGAACTCTTGAATATGAGGTCAACGAACACGAAAATGAAATCACCGGATAACGAAGATGGGAGTATAAAGTCATAAATGGTTCCAAGACACTGATATATAAGGTAAGGGAGGTGTGGAGGCCCGGAATACTGCTTCTCTAATTCTGTTTATATCATCTTTCTAGTTTTAAATATATCGGTACTAGTTTAGTAAAATCACGAATAGCATCAACTTCACGATTAATAGTAGTATTAGAAGAAGCGATTATCAACATTGATCTGAAATATGTGCGCACGACAACCACTGATTCAGATACTGACTTTTAATGGCTTCCCCCAGCATTTATAAACCAGTCTTTAAACGGTATCCAGTAGCATATCGCAAATGCAACTCTTCGATTATTTAGCCAGAATCAGGGCGAGTTTGTCAGCTTTTCAACTCCCTGTAACTTCCTCAGCGAGTCATGCGAGAAACTCGTTCATTTCCTTAGCCGACTATCTTGGACGAGTGATGGGCTCCTCCAGACACCTCCCTCGGATATTAATCTTGAAAGACACTCTGCTTGGTCCTGTACGACACTGTCCTCACCTTGTAAGCTCCTCCTCCTCCTCCGCCACTATGAAACCTGAAAGAAAACAATAATAACATTTTTAGCTTAGGAAATAGAGATGACAGTGTTTAGTCTATGGTAAGTACATAGTAAAGACTGACACATTGGGCTGCCATGCAAGAACTACAATCCAGCTGTCTACTAAACAAACACGGGAGACAAAGGTAGCATAGCAGAATTTAGACACTAACTTCAGAAGTTTTATGAGATTAATAATTTATGCATTTATTTGCATCACTATGTTCATGTAGGTCATTCAGTACAAGTAGTAGTAATAGTAATGATGCTGCTGCAGCAGCAGCAGCAGCAGCAGCAGCAGCAGCAGCAGCAGCAGCAGCAGCAGCAGCAGCAGCAGCAGCAGCAGCAGCAGCAGCAGCAGCAGCAGCTCGATCCTCCGTCCACTAAAAGCGAGACAGAGGCTGTCTTATTGTCTTATTGTATTCCATATCCTAATATTTTATCAAGGCTCAAACGAAAGTAATACGTTGACTCTGGTCTGATGCTACTGACGCAAGGCTTACAGAAGGTGGGTGATGCGGCAGACAGGAGTGAGACGAAAGGAACTAAGATCAGAGCGGAGATAGCTTCGCCATACGCAAGTGTTTTAAGGTCCAGCAGAGTGGAGTGAGGGCGGTTGAGACGAGTGGAGCTGCCCGCTGCTCGACCTCTCTTGTGCCTTGTCGAGCACTACGTCTTGTCTGTGTTGTCACGATTTATATCTGCCGAGGAGTGAATGTGGGTGTGAGGGGAGAGGAGGGGGGAGCGCGTGTGTGGGGTCACACTACACGTGAGCATAACGTGGCCAGTAAGGTGCTAATGGGATGTGAAGCTCCACCTACGATGGGTTTGTTTGCAACTCATGCGCTGATCTCCTGGCCGCCAGATGTCCAATTAGCTTTCCAGGTCCAGTCCGGCTGGTAAGCCAGGAGTTACTACTACCACGGCTTCCATAGGGTAACCGGCTGCCTCTCACATGTGTCCTTGGAATCTGCCAGACTCAGCACCACTGTATTTCGTCTCGTGCAATAAAGTTTTCTCTGACGAACACACTTACAACAACATTCCAAGCCATTACACATCCTATTTCCCAGTGATGCGAGTGTGAGGTGACGACCAGCCTTAGCGACCTCGTAACAGGGAGTGAGGGAGGGGTCGCTCGTACATACCTTGTTCATCGGAACACTTCCAGCAGCTGGTCTGGCCTGGTTGGGACAATGTTTCTGGGTAAGAGGGTCTAGGGAGCAGAGATTATCGTATCAGAAACAAGCGTTAAATCCGTTTGGGTTATGCAGCAGTGCGACGAGAGGTTCAGCTTCCAGGAAAGTTATCATCACCCTATACTGCTACCTATTCATAACTACACATTTCGAGTCTTTCTACTCCCGGAGCCCGTCCATGGACCAGGCTCGTCTGGTGCTAGCCTGGTCAACCAGGCTGTTGCTGCTGAAGGCCCGCTGCCCCACATATACATCACAGCCTGATTGATCAATCATAACGATTGTAGTATGCGCCTGGATGTGTCCGCCCTCGGGAACACGCATGCACTTGCCTAGTCCCGTTGTTAGGAACACCTTTGGTCTTTCACGCCATCGGTGTAAGCTTCCTCACCGCCCACCTCACCCGGGTGGAGCAACCTCTCAGGGTGGCGGAGTAATGTCTTGGACTGTCAGCATCCAGTGCCTGAAGTCTCCACAGGCCCTCATTTGGAGAAGTCACTCTTGCCAGGCTGGTCGTCAGCAGAGCGACCTTATCTATCCCACGTTAACGAACGCCATGACTTTCTACCATGAAACTCGAAATGGCGACTTCAGTCAGTGTATAAAAGAGCCACACTGGTTTAGCGATTACGGTAAAAAAAATTCTAATTACCGACTGCCCTCCTATATCCTTTTGAGCAGCTGCTGACGTTTCTGTGACCCTCGCCCCCGCCTCCGCCCCGATCCACCCCCCCGGGTCCCGAGGTCAAGCCAGGTCTTCTACTCGACCTAGTCAGTTAAGAATGATGAAGGAAAATAGTAATACAAAGGCAGAGTAATAGCAACTCCAGTTTTCCGGGATCAAAAACCCTTCACCAGCATAAGTGCAAGTCCGAGACCTAAACCATAGTGAAGAATTCCCACGAGAATGAAACTGATACCGGGTACAGTGGGGATGAAACAAGCCTGGATGAGCACACGTGTTCTAGGAAGTGATCTGAGACTGGCGGACCTCGTGAGATATGTCAGTCAGCACCTTGCTGCCACTGACTGCCCTTGATTAAGGTCCAGTTACTGTACGTTAGATTAAGGTCCAGTTACTTTACGTTAGATTAAGGTCCAGTTACTTTACGTTAGATTAAGGTCCAGTTACTTTACGTTAGATTAAGGTCCAGTTACTTTACGTTAGATTAAGGTCCAGTTACTTTACGTTAGATTAAGGTCCAGTTACTTTACGTTAGATTAAGGTCCAGTTACTTTACGTTAGATTAAGGTCCAGTTACTGTACGCTAGATTAAGGTCCAGTTACTGTACGTTAGATTAAGGTCCAGTTACTGTACGTTAGATTAAGGTCCAGTTACTGTACGTTAGATTAAGGTCCAGTTACTGTACGTTAGATTAAGGTCCAGTTGTCATGTGGGTTTCGAAAACGTGGATAGGGTAAAAATACTCACGTAGGCTGGTAGTACGTATAATATAACGGAAAGTGTGGGAAGCGCCAACAGCCGACCTGCCTCTCTCTGGCTCCCTGACTAGACTAACTGACCCACCAGTGTCTATGGGTGAGGTGTTTGAAATCCTGCTATGGTCAGCAGCAATATGAATACAGCCAGTGATTCACGCAGAGACGGTTGGTAGTGAGTCATCTACTGGTACACTGGTTACTGGTAACTGGTACTACTACTGAGACAGTTACTGTACGTTAGATTAAGGTCCAGTTACTGTACGTTAGATTAAGGTCCAGTTACTGTACGTTAGATTAAGGTCCAGTTACTGTACGTTAGATTAAGTTCCAGTTACTTTACGTTAGATTAAGTTCCAGTTACTGTACGTTAGATTAAGTTCCAGTTACTTTACGTTAGATTAAGTTCCAGTTACTTTACGTTAGATTAAGGTCCAGTTACTTTACGTTAGATTAAGTTCCAGTTACTTTACATTAGATTAAGTTCCAGTTACTTTACGTTAGATTAAGGTCCAGTTACTGTACGTTAGATTAAGGTCCAGTTACTGTACGTTAGATTAAGGTCCAGTTACTGTAAGTTAGATTAAGTTCCAGTTACTTTACGTTAGATTAAGGTCCAGTTACTTTACGTTAGATTAAGTTCCAGTTACTTTACATTAGATTAAGTTCCAGTTACTTTACGTTAGATTAAGGTCCAGTTACTGTACGTTAGATTAAGGTCCAGTTACTTTACGTTAGATTAAGGTCCAGTTACTGTACAGTAGATTAAGGTCCAGTTACTTTACGTTAGATTAAGGTCCAGTTACTTTACGTTAGATTAAGGTCCAGTTACTTTACGTTAGATTAAGGTCCAGTTACTTTACGTTAGATTAAGGTCCAGTTACTTTACGTTAGATTAAGGTCCAGTTACTTTACGTTAGATTAAGGTCCAGTTACTTTACGTTAGATTAAGGTCCAGTTACTTTACGTTAGATTAAGGTTACCAAAATAACTAACCAAAACCGTACATAACAAAATCAACAAACAAACTACACGACTGTGTGCAGAGAGTTAACACGGGGTAACAGTAGTCGGATAAACAGACAAGGCATCTTGAAAAGCTCTTACTGAAGAGAGATTCCAGTCGCACGTAGCACATTAAATGTCCAGACGCCTTTCCTATCTTGGGTCAAATATTAATATGGACTATAATTTTTTTTCAGTTTGACGTACCGCAGACTTTTTTTTTTTAATAATAAACTTTCGTATCTTAAGAAAAAATATTGTATATTACATAGGAGAGAGAAGCTTATGGTGACACTTGAGTCCGACTCGGACCAATTACAAGTCGCACTAACACAGGAAGGTGAGGGAGCCAGTGTATATAGGAGACGGGGACGGGACAGAGGAAGAAAATGGAGTAGTGGTAGAGATAATGCCGGTAGTGGTGGTAGTAGGGGGAATAGTGGTGGCAGTAGGGTAGTAGTAATAGTGGGAGTAGTAGTAGTAGTAAACAGGGGAGTAGTGATATTGTGTATTGCTCCAGTCACGGTATTGTGCCTTTTAAGTTCTTAAAAACTGTATACTTTCTGTAGACATGTACGCAACACAGAAGTCTGTATCACGTTATTGCAGTGGCTGTTACCAAATAAAATTTGTGTTATCTGTTGGTTAAACAAAAGATTCATTTGCATACCTTCATCTACACAAATCTCACCAGTAATTCATTCATGGGTAAGGGGGGGGGAGGAAGCCAGACTGCCGCTGCTTCATTGTTTTAAGGTGCGTCAGGCGCTCTACTGACGCCAGCTCAAATTAAGCTAGCTTAAGTATAAACTAGGTAATGTTAGGCGAGGTTACGTTAGATGTATGGGTTGTGTTAACTAGTTAACTATACAAACTAGTAAACTAGTGCGTATATATGAAATATTTGTCATATGCTGAGTATATTTATATAGGCACCGCAGAGGCGCTGCGCCGCGGGGGGCGTTGACCCCCGGGAACACCCTCCAGGTAGGCTCATCAGGAGCCGATTAAGTCTGGTCATCTCTCCCCTACAGGCTTAGCGCTTCTCCATGAACATAATCTGAGACACAAAGTATGGTTTTTACAATATATTTTTTCAAATTTCCAACCCATAGACATTAAAAATATATATAATTCTTGGAGTGTAAACGGGAGACCTCTGGTGACACGGACAAACAATAACCTTGAGGGGTACGAGCGTAGCTGTTGGTATACCCTCAGTCAATGGTAGACGTGTTTATGTTGGTGAGTTGTGGTAATGGTGGTAGTTAGGAGTTTGATGGTGGTGGTGGAGAAGACTGGACAAGTGGAATTAATGGTGGTAGTGGTGAGTAGTGGTGGTGAGTAGTGGT